TGGCTGAACAGGAATTATTTAATGTGGAAAACTGATGAGTGCAAGTCAGTTCTTTTTATAGGGGACTGACACAAAGAGGAAGAAAACTAGCAGAAAACTGAATTGAGACATTCAGCAACTTCTGATACTGTGGAAGACTTGCTTAGCTCACTCTCTGAATGTGTGTGTTCCCTCTCATCTCTGCTGCTGAATATTGTGTGACTTACAACACAGGTGGAGGAAAGTACTATTTATTAAGAGTTTTCAATTAATCTTGGGTAACAGGACTTGGTCCTCAAGGCTGATTAGGTACCTAACTCACACAGAAATTCATACCTAATGTATACAATGTCTTTGATATCACAGGCCACAGCTGTGTAAGAAAAGAGCTCAGCACTATGACAGGATCCTGTCGTAAAATTCAAATGAAAAAATACTTAATACTCAAAGTATTTTGTGTCTTCTGAAAATTCAGTTCTACCTATGTACTTTTTCTCCACCGAGACTGTTTCCAAAAGAGAGTATTGGGAGGCAGTTGGGGATACTGGCTTCACAGACCCGTCCTCTGTGCCAGCTCCACAGAGCACTTGGAGATAAACAAGCTTTGTGTTGGCACTGACAAACATACACAAGCTGAAAAGCCAATGTTTCTGTTAGCTACTGTTACCCACAAGCCGTGCTGTCCTCTGAGGACAGCTGACCTTTATAGTCATCAGTCTAGTGCAGTCAAGGAAGTAAAGAAAGTGGGCTTGGTGAAATACTTTTGTCTTGTTTAAAAAAAATGCTAGGAATCCTGTCAAACTAGTTACAGCAGAAAAAATCCCACATGTAAATACGACATAACCAGTAATTGTGAACGGTGGCCCTACTTTGATTTAATACACACACACACACCCAGTAACGAGCACTGTGGTCATACAGTATTTTTTCCCTGGAACAGTAGTTTAAAGACAATAATCTGTTTGGGTGCTGTGTGCCATAGCTGCTGGAGGTTCATGCCATGATAATGATGTGGCAGCCTAAATTGTTCCTATGCTAATCCTTAATAGAGGCCCAGGCTCTTTAAGCCAACCCCTCCTCCTCCTCCTTATGTACCTTTGTTTCTTCCACTATGATTATTGCCTAAAGTGATATCTTCTGCTAGGATGGATTTGGTATATTGTTAGATACATTGTGTGTGTGCGTGCATGCAATATATGTATATATCTATAGTGCATGAAAAAAAGAAAATAGCATCAGGGATGAAATCAGAGAATAAGGGAGCTCTCTGCAAGATTCCCTTCTGCTTTGTTAGGTGCAAAAGAAAACCAGTCTTTTTTTATTATTATTATTATTTTTATTTCAACTGATCAGTTCTTTATTTGCACACAGTACAGCAGAGCTGTTGTCTGGGAAAGCTCTGGGGCAACACAAGTGCTGTGTATTTGTTAAAGCTACATTGGAGAGAAAGTGACAGTGGAATAGGAAAACGGGGAAAAATTTAACATACTGTGTAATGATGATCATTCAGCTTCCTGGTAATTTTGATCTACTGTATTAACAGGCAGGCATTAGTGCCTCTTCAGTGTACCTAAATAGGGCCTTCTTTGTATGTGGGAGGTTCACTGAAATAAAGTACAGGGGTTTCAAACTAATGATGTGAAAAACAATCAATGGAAACTGAAAAAAACCCACCAGGAAATGTGAGACATTGCAAGCAGCACACAGCGCTTGGGGAAGCGCAGAGAAATCCCTTGCACCTTCCTTTGCCACAGCAAAGGGTTGTTCAGTGTATGCTTATGACCACAGTGAGTCATGACCTGCCTACTTTTGGTTTGTATTTTAACCAGCTTGGACAATGCACAAATGACCATCTGTCATCTCTTTTTCACTGGCACACAGGTTTGATTTATGATAGGACAATAGCAAAAGACCATTTCATAACAGAATTCTTAGAAATTCTGTTTTCTAATAGAGTGTGTGCCCGCTCACGGCAAGTTGTTTAGAGGGCAGGAATAGAAGGGAGTACAGCATGGAAGGAAAAGTGTGAATTTCCTTATACCTCCCAGCACAGAACTATGAACATTTGTCCTTTGCGTTTGCTAGTAGTGCTAACTACCAGCTCAGTCTGATAAAAAACACCTGCTAGTGAAAAGACTCTGTACAAACATTCCGAGTATTTTACAGCGGAATGAAAACCATTCCTCTTTTGTTTGAATACTTCCTGAACTTTTGTATAGCGTTTGCCCATTCTGTGTTAAGGCGTTCTTGCCTTCCAGCTACAGACATTGTAAAATTTTTTGCTGCTTCTCCCTAGAACCGAATGTTCCCGGCTGGAGGGCACCAGTGAGTCGTGATTTGCTTTTCACAGCAAGCAGTTAACAAATCTTCTGGATATGTCACTTTTGAGAACCAGATAAGCTTCCTTTACTCATTTGGTTGGGTGCAACATGCATACCAATGACCTTTTGCAGCAGATATCATTAATGACCTCATGTCAGAATCTTTGCATAATATAATTATGCAAATTAATTATGCAAATTAAAGACCTTCTTGGTATTTTCAAAACCTGTGATAGAATATTTTCTGGGATTGGAGTGGAGTGCATGATTTCAGTTAACTTGTTGGACTAGCTAAAAATAAAACACACAAGCTCTAGAGTCTCACCAGGTGGTGGAAACTCAGCAAGGCACATCAGCAGCTGTCATCATCGCCTCTTGGCCTGAGAGTACGCTGCCCACCTGTGAATTCAACAGAAGGAAATGCCATGTTAGAAGTCACCAAGACCAGACGCTGTGTTAAATTAGAAGGCTAAAATTGACACAAATAAACAGGATTTAGCAGTGTCTTCAGGAAATGGGTATTACACTCCTCTACACGTATTAGAAGACCTGCTGGGCTACTGTGGAAATCTTGGTAATCAAATTATGTAGACATTTGGAATGAAAAGCAGTACACGAAAAGCTTTAATTTGAAAAGGAAGGCTCTTCCAGATAGAAGTATCCAGACCGTAACTTAATTTTAAAACATTTGATTCAGAGCCTATTAATCCTGAGAGATGCATTCCCCGCTCAGTTCTCCTTCCCTCCTCTCTACTTGCACACAGACGGAGACCACATTTGCAAGTACAAGTGCACTCAGGTTGCCTGAGCTGCCTACTTGTTTGTCCCATTGTAGTAGGCATTACTACAGGCTCTGAGGATGGGTTCATGTGTTTATCATCTTCCCGTAGGACTCCCGGCTGCAGTCGTGTGCAGTCCAGTCTGCCCTGACGCTGTGCAAAGAAGTGTTACGGTAGCGAAGGGATCCGCAGAAGCCTTGCTGCGTTGGTAGCCAATCAACAAGACAGGTTGTAGGAAATACAGCATTCCCAGCCTGCCAGGCAGTGCTGCCCTGCTACAGGTTGCTAGTGGAACGGACCACAGATCAGCTGGATACAAATTTCCATAATTTACCAGTTGTTGCTGGCGTGGTCCTTTTCCGGGTGCTTGACAAGAATCTCCGAGCTCTCATCAGCAGAGCTGGAGTATTCAGAGCTGCAGCTGGTGGCAAGCGGCGGTGCCGTGAATAAAAAAAAGTGGTATCTAAGTTAAGTGGGTTAGAAGGAAATAATTCAGATTTCACAAATTCGGTACTTAAAATTAGTCAATGTTTTTTGACAATTCGTGCCTTTACTCTCTCTATGCCTCGCTCCCCCTTTCTGTACAAAGTGATTAGCACCACGTCAGTTCCCAGCCGTACTGAAAAGAAGTCATGACTCTTCACAAAGCTGCCAGGCATAGCGGTGAAAGCCCCACTAGAGGAGTCCGCAAGAAAGCGAGTTCTACATGTCGTGCAGCGTTTCAGTGGTGTGCAGTAAATAATACACGGGGTTCCCCAGCAGATTGATTTCGAGTGTTTAATTAGTCGGATCATCCACCACTTCCCCAGGTTAAAGGCCTGGCAAAAGGAGAGCAGACTAAACGGGGACAGGACGGGAGCTGGCGGACGGTTACAGCATCCTGCCGGCGAGCGTAATTTCTGAGGCGCCTGACTCCCACGCCGCGGACGCCGCAGACGTTAGGGGCTCATTGCGGGGCGCTCGCC